CTGGAACAATTCTTCCTGGAAAAAGCTACTGCAGTTATTACATACTCATACGACAGGTCCTTGTGTCACAGGGACACAAGGCAGAGTCACAGTGTCTCTTGCTGCCSCTAAAAAAGTACATATCAGGTAACTGCTGAGCACTTAGTCCTTAGCTAAAGCTTCCAAACACCTTTTTGAACATCCTTTTCCGGATGGAAGAAAACTTCCTGTGCTTTTTCCTTTTCTTGCAGCAGAGAACAAAATTCGATCTATTTACCTATATGTGTTACTTTAATAACACTAACAATCAAAAAATAAAAAAGAGTTGGTAACTACAACTGAACCAGTAAATTAGAAAGCCTAGGGCTGTTTTCTTACACTGAAGACTAGAATGGTCCTCGTTCACAATACTAGACTCTTTTAATCCCCAAGACAAGGTGGTTCCACCCAATGTATTTGTCATTATCGTATCTGTTCCAGAACCAAGTCTATGAGGTGCTAGGGACCATCTGAACAACCCATCGTGTCCTCAACACTGCTTGATCTGCTGATATAGATTCACCCTATGGATCTGACCAGAAATCTCAGATGACAATGGAAAATTTCACAGTGACAGGCAGAGCAGATAATRCTGGCATCTATCCAGCTGAGTGTCAGTTGCTTATTCCACCATGAAGAAAAAGAATTAGGTGCTTAAAAAAAAAATCTAATTTGCAGGAAAGATTCTGCACTGCTATCAAACAGTTTCAATAAGGATCCATAATCTAGTCATATGAGTGTAAACCCAGGAGATTTCACTAATKCTGCTCTAGACAGTAGCTGAATGTCAAATCAACCTCCTGCTTGACAGCAACAGCATCACCAGGTATCTCAGCAAGGTGGGATGAATCTCCCACTGGAGATTTTCAGGGATGGTTTCAATATGCACTTTCCTGGCATAAAAAGGATGGGGATGTGGATTAGACCATCTTGGAGGTCCTTCCTGCCCTACATTTCCATGATATTCACAATGGAAAATGAATTCACCACCCTCGTGCAGCCTGTCCCACCGCTCACGCATGCATGTGCTGCAAACATCCCTCGCAGAACGAGTTACTCTTTCTCCAAGAAATACACACAGAATCACCAGTTCTAAGTCATTCATCTCTATAGCTACTACAAATTCCCACTTGCTCCACATCTCTACTACCTCCAGGGCTTGAGCTGAATGACATAACATTAGCAACAGGCATTTCATTAATACCAGATGCAGGCCAAAATTTTCCAGTGAAGCTCTTCTGGCTTTGCCTCCTCTGACAGGAAATGGCTTGTGGGCCAAAGTGATTTTCTTGGTTGAAAAGTAATCACTCAGCAAACAAACCTTTTGAATAAAGAATTTCAAAATTATGTTTCCTAGCACTACTTCTCTGGGGAAAATTAATCCCATCATTACTCATTCAGACAGCAAAAAGGGTGTATAATCCTCACCTTGTTTTTTACCTATCGCCAAAAAAAAAAAAAAAAAAAAAAAAAGAAATTCAATGAAAGGGGAAGGCAAGACAAAGAGAGAAACCTCTTAATAATAATATTTTCCATGTTTTTCCAAACAAAAGTGAAAACCATCTATTCCTTTTTTGCATTTTGGCCATGTGGTTTATTCATCTCCACTTATTCTCAGTGGGAAAAGCTCTGCCCAACTGTGCCAGGAGTTCAGGGRGATAAAAACACTTTCAAGCTCTCAAACACTAGCGTCACCAAGGCCACCCATGTACTTACTACAAATAAAACCTTCTAGTGATGTTACCTGATCCTCTTACATGACACCGCGTAACTGAACAAAAATCCAGCAGCAGCAACTACCAAAGGGGCTGAAAACTCTCCAGGCTGGGTCCCAACGCCTAAAACTCAGCTTAGCCCTCTAAACTGAGTTTTCCACAGCAGGCTGGGCAGCTGAGAGCCCTGAAAGGCTCCATCACTATCCGCCCTCCACAAATGCTTGTCTCTGTATGGCTGGTGACCAAAATCAGGTCTAAATCAAGGATAATCTCTCTGTGAGGTGGATTACTGGATTTGGGAGTGTCAGACGCTGACCGCCAAGCAGGTTCTATCATACATGACTTGATCATCCTCAAATCAACTCACTTCCAAGAGGATGGAAAACAGATCTGTTCCCAGCTGGGAGCAAACTCTGTTCTCCATGGCCATCCCTGCCTGGCCCCATCTTTGCTTTGCATATCCTGGTAGGATATGGAAGGTAAAGTCCCGCTGTCCCACACAGGATCTCCAACACTCGCTTGTCTCAGTATAAAGAGGATTTAAAGAGGAATTCCTTTAAATTTAATTCCCCTTTAGCAGGCTCCCCTGGTGACCTTGGGCTCGCTGCATCTCCCAGGCTGTGTTTCCACACCTGTAAATAACACTCGCTGGCTTCACGGGCACAGAGAGGGTGCAGAAACCATCACCAGCTTGGGTTTCGCTGGGGAATCGTTTCCCCTTCCCTAGGACATCACATTACRCTGATCCGCAGCGGTGGCTGTAAGGAAATCCACCCCCTCCCTGTTGCCTGCAGCTGGAATTCGCCAGGAGCTTTCCCTGGAGCAGAAGAGCAGCAAAGGGCATGGAAGAGAAGCCCCACGTTGGGCATCCCTTGGTAGATGGCACCTAGGAGATAATTTTGGCAGAGGGATTGACAGCAGCAAACGGGACTTCCCTCCTTGCAAGGGATGTTCCATGGGAGCATCACCCACGGAGTGTTTTTCAGGTTATGCTGGGTGCCATGGGCACCTTTTGTGGGAAAAGGGGTTCCCATCCTGGGATTTAGGCACCCTAAACCTTGTCCTAGGGTCTTAGGTCCTCCTATAAACCAGGTTTTTAGATTTTCCTCACCTGGCCTTGCAAAAGCTGAGTTCRTCATTGGCAGAATCTCCACTCAGGCCTCATCTCTTTTTATGCAGTGATTAATTTAAATCTAAATTAGTATTTTAGGTGTAAAAACAAATAAGATACTTTGAGCAGATGCCCTTGGGTGGACAGAGCCATCACAGTTCACCTGCTCAGGTAGCCAGGCAAGCTCTATTCCTCTTCCATGTCACAGGGCAAGGTGGGGACTAAATACACCCAGTAGGGACTCCTGTGAGCAGAAAGGTTTTCTGTAATAACAGGRACATGGAGAATTTGGCTCTTAAAACAGCCCAAACAATAAGTAACCTTTTAAAGATGCTTAATTTGAACGGAAAATGAGAACAATTAGGCAGAACATCACTCAGGCATTAATGAAGAGGTGCTTATGTTTCAGGGCTCAGCGCTAGAGCAAACACTTCTCTTACAATATGCTGCACCAAAGGGAAACATGGAAGCGAGAGGGCAGACAAGGACGCGAGGGAAAGAGAAATCCTCACACACTGAAGCTCTCCTGGAAGGAGAGGAGCCTGATGGGGAAGACTGGAGGTCTTCGAGTTCCTCTTGCTTTTAATATCTGCAGTGAGGAGGCCGAAAATCACAGGCCAGATGCTGCTGAGAAGGGTCCAGGATGGGAAAAGTGGGAAAATTTAGAGAGGAAAGGAGCTTTCTGAGCGTGGGGTTTCATTGTAGCTGGTGGATCACAGCCTGTGCTGAGAGGCTGGATTCAGGTTGTCCTCTGGCTGTGCCACGGGGCCCCATCCCTTGGGATTTAGCCCTGTGCCACAGCCCCATCCCTTCGGATTTAACCCTATCGGAGCCAACAGCGGYGCAGGGACCCCTGCTGATCCAAAATGACCAGAGAAAAAAACTCCTGGGCAAAGATCCCTGCTTCCCATGGCGGATTAAAGGATTGTGCGACGCTTTTTTGGAAAACTCAGCCCTTTTGGRGAGCATCTTCCCCCGCTCTCCACCTCCTCTGCCCTTGCCAAAGAGACACCCTGAGAAATCACAGGCTGCTTTGTCACGTCTGGAGAGTCTGCAGCATCCCCTCTTAAAGCCAAATCAGCCCCAAACTCGAGTTAAAAAAAAAAAAAAAACACAAAAAAACCAAATCCAAGACGTGACAGGAGTGGGTTCTCCTTCATATCATTATGGGAACTCAAAGAAAACCCCCCACAAACACCCCCAAACCTTCTCGCTGCTTAAAGCGCTTCCCACCCAACCTGGAGACGGGGGAGAGGAGACGGCCACCAGCTCCCCACACCGGCAGCGAAAGCTCTGGAAAACGCAAGCGGCTTCACGCGGGGCAGAGGTTTTTGTGATCCCTTATTTTTGGGGGAGAGGGGGATGGAATCCGGGCTCCTCTTGGCAGCYGCGGTAGGAGGAGGGRAGTGATGGGGGGGGGGGCTGGGGACAGCGGGACATTCCGGATCCCGACATGGCAGCATCCCAAAGCCGCCCCACCCAAGGGGGCTGGACCCGCATCCCGCTTTGTCTCCGATTCCACCCAGGTTGGGGGAAAAAATAAATAACATAAAGGACAACTCGGACCTGGGTCTGCCTGTTTAGAAAGGCCCTAGGCGCTGCAGGTGCCTGCAAACCTACCGACAACGTCCCTAAATGCACCCAGGGAAGAGAAAAAACATCGATCTGTGCAGATAAACCTGCAACGCAGCCCCAAAATGCAGAGAGGACACAGGAGAGGTGGGGCCGGGGCAGAAATTTCCAGGTTCCTACGGTGGTAGGAAGCCTCCGAGATGGCATTTCTGGGCTGGTGGGACTCCTGCCGCGGTGCAATGCCCAGGGGATGGCGGGATGGTGGGATGGGGTGGGATGGGATGGGATGGGATGGGATGGGATGGGATGGGATGGGATGGGTCGGGACAGTCCAACCACTGTGATCAAGCGCTCTGTGGATGGAAGATGAGGAGAAGGATGAGGTGGGAAAGAAGAGGGTGCCTGAGGATGAAGGATGGGTGATGGATGGATGGATGGATGGATGGATGGATGGAGAGCAGGCTGGTGACCGGGAGGTTCATGGTGGTGGTGGTTTTGGTGCTGATGGTGGTTTTGGTGCTGATGGATGGCGGCGATGGCCGTGCGGACGGTGGTGGCGGCGGTGGCTGCCCACGGGACCTCACCTGTAGGACGAGCTGACGCCGGCCGCCACCTCCTGCTTGATCTGCCTGTTGAGGGCATCCACGGCCGCCCGGCCCTTGTCGGGCCCGCCGGCCGCCTCGGGGGCCTTGCCGCGGCCCTCGCCGCTCCGGGCCACCTCCTCGGGCGCCTCGGCCTCGCCGTGGCTCCTGTCGGCGCCCGGTGTCGCCTTCCTGCGCCCGTCCAGGGCGGCCGGGGCGGGCGACGGGCCCGGCTTGGGGATCCAGGGGTGGTCGCCGCGCTTGGGGATGGGCCAGGCGCGGAAATCCTTCTGRTACTGGGTCTCCTTCTCGAAGGGGGTGTCCGAGGGCTGGTACTCGCTCTTGGGCTTGCAGCTCGGCTCGGGCCGCTGCACCTTCCAGGGCTTGTAGTCGTGGCGCATCACGGAGTCGGCGGGCGGCGAGGCATGTGGGGCTGGCGCAGGGCTGCTCCCCCGCTCCCGCTCGCGCTCCGGCGCGGCCGCCTCGCCGCCCGGCTGCGTCTCCACGGGCCGCGGCGGCGGCTGCTGCTCGGTGGCCTCCGAGTACTTGGCGAAGACGAGCGGCACGGCGATGTCGGCCTTGTCCAGCTGGTTCCAGAAGCGGGCGATGCAGCAGGCGCGGGTGATGCAGGGCCACGCCATGGCGGCGGCGCCCGCGCCGCTCCCGCCGCCACCGGCCGCCTCAGCCGCCGCCTCAGCCGCTCCCGCCGCCGCCTCAGCCGCTCCCGCCGCCGCAGCCGCCGGGGGAGGGCGGGGCCAGGGGCGGGGCTACACTGGGGCGTGGCCTGCAGAGGCGGGAGGAGCGTCCGTGTAGGGGGCGGGGCTTATTGAGGGGGCGTGGCCAGCGGAGGGGCGGCAGGGCGCGCGTGTAGGCGGGGGGGGTGCAGCTGCCTCCGCGCGCATGCGCACGCGTGTGTGCGCGCACACGGGTGGGTGCAAGATGCGTGTGCACKCGCACACACACGCTTGCACACGCACACCATTCTCTTGCACGCACTTGTGCACGCATGTACGCATATACCTGAACATGCTTGCACACAAACACATGCACATACACCTGCAGGCACATGTAGACACATGCACCTTGCACATGCACCCACACGTGCACAGGTTGTGCACACATGKGCATGCCCTTGTAAACGCATACAAATGTGCACACATGCTTGGACATGCCTGCATGCATGTACACACACACACATGCACATATAATTGCATGCACATGTGCACACATACAATGGCTTGCACTCACGTGCACAGAATGTGTACACACATGTGCTTGCAAATACACATGTGCACATACACAGAAGCGTGCACACATGTGTGCACATACCTGGACACACTTTCATGCACATAAATACACATGTGCACATACACATGCATGCACATGTGCACACATACACCTTCTTGCACATGCAGACACACGTGCACAGGCTTTGCACACTTGTACATGTGCTTGCACGTACATGTACACACAGGTGCACATGCACACACATGTGCACACATGCATAGGTTCACACAGTTGCATGCATTTGCATATACATGTGCATACATGCACGCACACACATGTGCACACATGTTTACATGGACAGGCTAGTATGCACTCACACATGCACATACACTTACGTGCATGTGTGCACACACATGCACATGYGTGGGTATAAACATGTACACACACAAATGCAGACACCACATACAGCTGCATGCACACATGTGCACAGATGAGCACATGTATATCCCCACATGCTTTTGCACACATATGTACACATACATGTATGCAAACCAGGTGCATAAGAATGTGTGTCCAAGTGCACACAAACATATACACACATGTGCACACTCATGTACGCACATTTCTGTAGGTACCTGCATGCACAGGTGTGCACACACACATGTAACATGTGCATAAGCACAGGTAGACAAATATCTGCACACACACATGCACACACAGGTTCACAACAGCACTGCATGGCATATACCAACAGATGTGCACACTGCTGTGCACACCAGCATGCCCATGAACACAAATGTGCATATGCAACTGCACACAAATGTGCACACTTGTGTATGTGCAGACAGATACATACATGCACACAAATGCAGATGCATGTGCAAATGCACAGCAAGAGACAAGCATGCACATGCATGCACGTATCAACACACACCCATGTGCACACATATGTGCACACAAATATGTAATTCTATTTCTCACATAGACTCTCACCTTCATTTGCACACATTGCTTATTCACACACGTGCACATGAACACCCAGGCTTGCACAAGCACCTTCACACATGTGAAATACAAGTGCACACAAATACCCAAACACATATTCATGCCACACTGCACACAGGCATACACACACAGCCACATATACATGCCTGCATGCACATATATGCAAGCAGGCACATATACATGTACGCAAGCACGCATGTGCAGAATGGAAGCACATATATTCACTGAAACATGCACACTTATGCTGACAAATGCATGCATCCACACATATGCATGTATATATAAACATGTCTGCACACACATGTGCACACAGTTGCATGCACGTTTATGCACATGTACACTCTCACATGCAGGCACACATATGTGCATGTACACACTATTTACACATGCACACACAAACCCAGCCATGGAATCACAGATACTCCCCCAAATGCACACAATGAAGGCAGGAAATTGGGAATTAACCCATGTCACTGCCACACCCTGTCCCCTTGGGAGCGAATGAAGAAACTCTACTTTTTTTCCAGCATTTTGGGGGGTAATTGGACTTTTTTTTTTGTCTTTTCATTTAGGATGACTGCAACTCTTACCTTAGTCCCGAGCTATCTGCAGGCTTTGCTGAGCATATCCATATCACCCCTGCATGATGGGCATATATATATTTTTAGCTCCTTTTATAAGGGGGACTGAATTAAATGCCCAAATCCATCCAACTGCCTCTACCCACCACTGCAGCATCTCAACTGCAGAATTAAAAAAAAAAAAAAAAAGAAAAGAAATTGCTGATGTCTCCAATGCTCCAGTTGCTTAATGCCTGCAGTGACATCTATACACACATATATATATTATAATATAGAGAACAATCTTGGCACGTGGCTGTTCATCCACTTTCAGGAGGCAGTGACGGGAATAATTCCATCCCTTATGTCAAGTCAAGTCCATTAGCTCCAATTGGCCCGATTGACTTGCTGGCTACGAGCCACTCATGCAGGGGATGAGCCTTTAAATACATAAAAATGCCTCTGTGTTTCAATTCTGCTCCTCCAGCCTGTTATGGGAAGGGAAAGTTGCAGAGATGTGTGGTGACACTGGGGACATCCGAGGGTCTGGGGAGTCCCTCTGCACTGACCAGGGCTTGGAGCACCTTGGGGCTCAATCCTGTGATCTCAGGAGTGCGTGGGAAGGTTGTCATGATGTTGAGGGCACCACATGATGGATGCAAAACAGAGGACCCGGCGTTTTTGGAAAGAAGTTGTATTTTGACCCATCTATCCGGTGATTTAAGTTGATGTAATTGAGGAGAAGCAGGGCTTAATCAGGAGTTCAGCTGGAGCAGCCTCATTTTGTTCAAGACGGATGAAATATTRAGTGGGGAAGGAGAAAGATGAAAGTGATGGGGATGTGTCAAGAGCTGGAGGAGACCCTTCCACTGAGGGACGTGAGTCAATGCAACTTAATCAGAAAGAAGTTGGAGAGGATATTTAATTACAATTCATTTAGGGAAGGCAAAGTTCTCATAGCCATAAATATCCCAAGCTCCAGGAAGCTGGATGGCAGTTCATCCAATCGGACAGAAGAGACTGACCACAAGCAAAAATGAAAACCAATCTCATAACAAGGTAGGCCTGGCATAAACCTCTTATCTCCCTTAGGATGACGTGATTGCTGCTCCAGAGGCTCCTGCCTGATTCCGCTAATTTTGGAGGGACACTGGATCATTAGCTTCACTGGCCAATGTTAGCTGAGATGAGATAAAATAATCATTTGTGGGTATTCTTGATCAAATGTAGACCTGAACCACATCTGGAGACCCCCAGTAGAAATGTCTTTGCCTCCACACCGCCCCAGGGAGGGTACCTGAAGACCAAATGGGATGGGARCAATGAAAGGAAACGTGTTACTGAGACTTGCCCTCTATGCAGCTCTGGTGAGGCCACCCCTGGAGTATTTGGCGCAGTTGTGGGCTCTCCAGGACAAGGGGCACATGGAGAGAGGGTCCAGCGGAAAGTGACGAAGATGATGAAAGGACTGGAGCAGCTCTCATGTGAGGAAAGACCAAGCGAGTGGGGCCTGTTGAGCCTGGAGAAGAGGAGGCCGAGAGGGGACCTGGTCACCGTGTGCAAGCACCCGAGGGGAGGATGGAAGCAGGAAGGGGCCAAGCTCTTGTGGGTGGTGGCCAGTGGCAGGCCAAGGGGCAGTGGGTGCAGGTTGGAGGCCAGGCAGCTCCATGTGGCCGTGGGGAAGAACTTGTTTGGTGGGAGGGTGCCTGAGCCCTGGTTGAGGCTGCCCAGGGAGGCTGCGGAGGCTCCTGCTCTGGAGACCTTCCCAACGCGCCGGGGTGGAGCGGGTGCCCCGTGCTCCGGGTGTCCCTGCTGGAGCAGGGGGCTGCAGGGGATGATCCCTAGGGGTCCCTGCCAACCTCAACCATCCTATGAGTCTGTGATTCTATGAAAGGTCTCAGTGAGGGCCACACATGCCAGGACCAGGCTTCTCCTAGGAAGCAAAATCGAAAGAGCTACCCGGTATCCTTAGTACTCCAACATGCTCCTGCATCCCCTAGGGACATGGGTTGGCCGACATGGTGGGTTTACAGTTGAACTTTATGATGTTGAAGGTCTTTTCCAACCATAATGATTCTATGGGGCTTTCTTGGCTGCGACACTGGAGCATAGCCAAGTCTGCATGTCCAACCTGCTGAGCTCTGAGTGTGAGGTCTCCTGAGGAAGCCCATCATTGTTGGCAAAGCCTGTGGCTCCGTGACTCTGTGTTTTATGGGTTCCTCCTTGTCCTCCGAGATGAACATTGATCACCTGAGTCACCAGGGCTGCTGATAAAAGGGTCAGAGAGGACAACCTATTGAGGCATTAAGGAAACTTGGTGTTCTGGTACTGAGCATAAGCCATAGGAGAGTGGATCAGTGACTACAAATGCATGAGAATTAAAAGTCCAAGAACAGAGGAGGAGATAAATCAAGCAGCATGTGTATGAGCACCAGAGCATGTTAGGAAATAGGGAGAAATAGGGAAAAAATTAAAAAAAGGAGGGGGGACAAAATTGAGGTTTAAATGGTCATGGTGGTGAGAATTAAGACAACAAGGAAGAGGTGTCCAACTGTTCTGCAGACTTTGTCTGCATTTTCCATTGTCCCCTGGTGACCAGAACCTCTATGGACGTATGTGCGTATGGTTGTCCTGGGTGTCAGGACACAGGCTGTGGATATCTGGGCTCAATGCTTGGGAATGCTTGGGCAGGGCTCGGCTCAAGACTCTGGATGTTGCAGCCCTTAGAAGAAGRCTTTGCTCTGAGGTGCCCACCAAGACTTAACAACCCAGGTGCTCCTTGGCTGGGGACAAGGCTGTGGGATTGTTAAAGCCTAGGGACAGATCTTCCAAAGACCCCATGATTTACAAGTCTAGACAAAGGAGAAATGATGGGGCACCATAAACATCTCCAAGCTGTGGAGACATCCCTCTCAGAACACCTGTTAATGGGCACATTGATACCTGCAGAGCACTGCTGTGGGCTGAGCACTAGGTTTTCTATTGACRTACATACTGCTAATGACCAAGACCAGCCTGCTACCTTGGCTTTGTTATATCTCTTATCACCAGTAAACTCTCATACTTGGCAAACGATGGTCCCTCAAGCTCAGCGCAACTCATACTAGGATGCACAAAAATAATCCTGGATGCCCCTCTACTGGCTCATCAGTAGCACTGGTAGCCAGACTAGATCATCTTCTTTTAAAAGTCTCTTGCAAGAGCACTCTGCTTTTCTTCTCCTCCAACCACCCATTCCTCTAATRGAGTCGCCAGTGTCACCGAAAATCAGGAATAAACCTCTTAACACCAATGTAGTATTAAGAAGCAGACATTCTTTATTAYGGCRCTGGATSCRTGGGGGATAGCTCCTCCTAATGTGCATGCAGTAAGTTGCGTTAACCGAAGCTTATATTTTTCTGTGATCTACAAATGCATTAAATTTCCTGGAATGATCATACATATTTATTGTTTCCTAGAACTAATTACAATATATGCCACCCTCTTGCTCGTGCRCTCTCTGTCCCTTTGGTGGTCCGTCACAGTCTTTTGATACCCCTAGTGCTCATTTTTTGGGGTACTTCTGATGAACTCTGATAACTCACCCCTATATATGGTCTCATTTTGCCTCAGGGAGTCCTGTTTACCCCCATTGCCCGGTTTCAGCTGGTTCCTTGAAGATACGCTGGTCCTTATCTTCATCTTCAACCAGTGTTTGCTGTTTTGCCCGTACTCTCTCATGGTGCACCAGCAGCAGCTGCTGTTTTGTCCGTGCGCTCTAATTATTTACCAGCAACAACAGTGAAAATGATGTCCTTGGGTGCATTCTTGTGTGGTGTTGCTCATAACATCAGGGCTTACAGAGCCCRGGAGGACCCAGGAGCTCAGGACACGCATCCGGGCACTGTGTTTTGGAGAATCTCCGGAAAACTGCGTGTCTCCAAGCAACAGGGCTGAAACTGCCACGAGCCTCCCCTGCTCACCCGGAGCAGAACCACGTTGGAAGCAGAACAACACAGCAGCGATGGGGGATGTGTTGCCAGGGTTTAGCCCAATTAAAGCATTCCCCAAGGACTATTTTTTCCCCCAAAGTTTCTGGGTTTTTTTTGCTTTCAAGCAGCAAATTGTCACATTTGAATGTGACTAGGCAGAGCTGCCGCCCATGCATCGGTGCAGAGGTGAGGTCCAAATGCAAAAGAGAGGTGGTACTTGCTGAGATGCCCTTAAATGCACTCACAAGTGCATGCAAGGACACAGGTCTGCCCTCTCCATGCACCCCAGTGTTGTGCACTCCTAGGCTCACTCCTGCAACACCCGCTGGTTGCTCCTGCCCCTCCTGTGCTGCCTCCCGTGCCCAGCTTTGCAAACAGGCCCAGCCTCCCGCCTTATCTGCACATTGCACGTTTGGAATCACAAAGCCGCTCCTCAGCAGCAGCCTTTTTTTCCTCCTTCCCCTGCAGGCTCTGTTCCCAAAACCCCCCTCCTGTGCCTTGCTGCCCTCTCCTTGCAGCTGCTTTAGCACAAGGGTCCCTTGGGATTCCCTCTGCCCCGCACTGCAATGCCAGAGCAGACTTTGCACGGGGACTTTTAGTTCTATATGGGGTCTTCACACACAGGCGATGTGTTCCTGTTTTCCAGAAGGAGGATAATTAAATCACCTGTGGTCACGCCTGGCTTAAATGCAGGAATGCAGGAAGAGCCTCCATCCTTTCTGGGAGCCTCCAAGCACCGGAAAACGTGAAGGGAGAAACATCTAGGGTGAAGAGACCCACGTGGAAAGGCAAACTGGGATCCTAAAAGGAATTTCCTTCCCATGYGTGGAGGTGAAAGCATGAGAACCTCGCCACTGAACCTCATTGCAAGGGCTTGCAGCAGTGTCCCCTTCCTCCCCACGCAGGGACTTGGCTGCCACYGCCACTGTACGTTGCACAACTCCCTCGCCGTAGTGTAAGCCTGGGTAAACATTGACGGATAACTTTGCACTTTGCATTTGCTATCTGCGGAGCTTCCTTCTCCTTGCGGGACGTGCGCGCCGAGCCCAAGATGAAGGTCGAGTTCGCTCCGCTCTCCCTGCCGCTGCGGAGGAGGCTTCAGACCGCCTCCGTGGTCCAGTGGGTCTTCAGCTTCCTGGCGCTAGGTGAGAGATGTCTCCTTTGTCCTTTTTTTTACAGTTTTTAACCTTATTTATAGAGGTATTTCTCCCTTGCAGGAGTGAAAACGTGTCTGTGTACTCATGTCACCAAAGAGCTTRGGCTGAGGAGGGAAACTGAGTCAGGGGGCGAGTGGTCGCTGATATCCCAAAGCAGGTCATGCAATGAAGGACTAGGACCAGTGCCAGGCTATGGGTTTGCTGGAGAAACCGAAGCAGCTTTTGCCCCAACCCCAAGCCAGCACATGAGGAAAATGTCATTAAAAGCATCTTCTGAGGTGCTGCAGTGAATCCCGGGCCATTTGGGGACAAGAAATTAGCATTCACCGTGCAGATGGGAGTTGTTCACACATGTCTCTGCTCGTATCACTGCACGGTGGTGGGTTTTTTTGGTAAGGAAAAGCAATGTGGGCGGCTCTGCCTCGTTTTAAAGCAGCTCCTTCTTGCTTCGGTGTTGGTGGCATCGGGTACGTGCGCTGAGTGTCTGTCCGTGTGTCTGCTCTCGGTCACGTCCGCGGGTCTGACGCTGGAGCTGAACTCATGGCTGGGGATGGCTCAACTTCTCCTGCTCTCTAATTCCCAGTCAAAGGCACTGTCCTGCTCTGGGGTCATCAGGAAAAATGCCGCAGGGATGATGCAGTGGGAAGAGCATGGAAGGCTCTGCTGGGGACAGGCACCTTGCTTTACATAGATCCTACCCGCCCTAAAAGGGTCATTTTCCAGGAAAACCTAATCTGATCAGTAGACTTGGACCCCGATRGACTTGCTGCAGCAGGGAAGGCACCGGGTGCTGCTGGAAATGAGAGGGAAGCAGTTTTGGAGAAGCAGGTGAGCAGGTTGATCAGAAGATGAGCAACCTGGGGCCAGGTTATCAGAGGGGACAAAATGTTCAGAGTGATTTACAGCCAAGCTAGGTGACATCCTCAGGATTGCTGTTGTCCCTCCAGTCATGCCAGTTTGCTTCTTAACCTGAGAGCACTTAGTCTTCAGTGTCTGGTGAAAACTTTCATCATATTGTGGTGGGATAGGGGCTAGCTAGTGCTGGACACATGGAAGCAGCAGGTCATTGGGCATACCCAGGTCCTGGCATGTCCACACTGTGCCAAAGTGCTCCTGGCATGGACCAGGGACCTTTGCTAGCAGTGAGAATGGTTGAAACTGCTCTTTGCTGGCAGAGCAGGGAACTAGTGCAACGGATCCGAACTGAGCAATGCAGTTAGCCTGCAGAATCAGCAGATATACTAGATGTTTAGGAGAGATGTAATCAGCATGAGCCCATTGGGTTGCTCTAGGACCACCTAGAGGTCTTCTCTCACTGAATGGAGAGGGATGTCCTGGTGTGACACTAGTGGCATGGCTGCTTGAGTTGCCACCAAGCATAGCTAAGGCATTATGGAGTGGTGATGCTGAGCAGACTTATGTCCACCTAGAGACATCCTGGACTTGTGTTGTGAGCTCTGAGGCTGTTCTCATTCATAAGAAGATCCAGACTGTAATGAATATTTTCCCTAGGTGCCCCCAAGCATGGAGACCACCCTGCAGGAGCGGGTGATGGGCTTCATTCTCAGCACAGGCAAGGGGAGATCTGGAAGAAGGCACACAGCCCTGGGTATGACCACTCACACCAAGGACACATGGGGTGTCTTGTGGCTCTCTCCTGGCCCTATGGCCAGGGTTTCCACCTGGAGCCCTTGGGAGTGATGGGGCACAGTCAGTATGTAGCCATGGCCTTCAACCAGGCCATGAACAACATGCCCCAGTCCCCATGGTGGGTGCAGCCAGAGCTCCTGGAGTTATGATGAGGTTTTTTTTTCATCAAAACCCTGCATTTAGGCAGGCACAGTTTTGTCCTTTGTTGGTATTGGGTYAAGTTGCCTCTTGACCTTTCAGTGATGGAGATGAGGAGTGACTACTGGAGTCAGCTGAAAAGCAGAAAATGAGTGGGAAAGGGAGGAATCCCCTGAAGTTTCTCCACAGCTGGTCACTAACCTGGAGCTGCTCAAAGCAGCTTGAGCAAGGATGAAGCTCCAAATGGAGCCTTCTTGGATGACTGTGCTCTATCTTCCTTTGGAATTTTGAAACCAAATTCATTAAAAAAAAAAAAAAAAAAAAAAGGAAGGAATGAGCATGGTCATAACTGAATGCAGAGCGATTTGAAGAGGGTTTGCCCTTCTCCTTTGGGAAAAGGTTTTGTGTTGCTGCTGCTAGACGAAGGCTGTCGAAAGTTTGGGGCAGATGCCACGATGGTTGTGTGAAACCATCCTCAGGAGAGGAGGAAAGGGCAGCAGGGACATACGAAGCATGGGACGTAGACACTCAGCCTTGCTGGGCATTTTCCACCTGCTGTGGGATCTCAGCACTGATCAGGCCCCCTCCTAATGCAATGGGACCGGGCCCCTGCAGGCATCAAGACCAGTGTAATGGTGCCCATGCTTGGTCCACTGCTTCTCCTCACCTTTCTCATCCCTTGTCTCTGTGTGCTCAGGAATGGGGATGGATCTGGTTGCATCCTAATGATCCTGTTGGAAGGGTAGGAGACATGTGCATGCTCTCCTTGTAGGCCCAGCTTATCCGGCACATGTGACACCCAGCCTTTGGACTCCTTTGGTCGACAAGGCTGGCTCAAAGGGCATGTGGTGCCCGCGTAAGTCAGGACTGGCTGTGGAGCATAGTTTTGAGCTTGTGGCAGCCTTGCCTTGCTTCTGGACCTGGCTGTGCTGAGCTGCCCAGGCTCTCTCTGTCCCTGGACTCATGGGCAGCCTCAACAACTGCATCTTGCACACCCTCCTGATAAGTGCAGTGTGAGTCTACCCTGCTGTAGGGCTGCTACAAAAGCAAGAGAACCCTTCTTTTCAAGGGCTATTTTACCTCTTTGATGGGACATGTTCCTTTTTTGACTTGGAAAGAATACTCTTCCATGTGCTCTAGGTGACCCTGCGTGTGCAGGGAGGTTGGACTAGATGACCTCTAGAGGTCCCATCTAGACTTTCCAACCTCAAGTATTCTATGATTCTAGGATTCTATGATTTTATGTGCTCATAGACCCTTGCTCACTTAAAATCCTTGGTCTAGGTAGTATGTAAAATGCCCCAGGTACTGCTGCTACAGGGTTGACCTCTCTGCAAAAAAAATAAAAGGCAGAAGCAGCTGCTCAGATGAAGAGTCTGCTCCATCACTGAAACTCTTCCTCTCCCTGGCTCATGCATCCCAAAGCTGCTGTGCCTACCCACTCAGCAGACACATCTTGTAGAGCATCCTCCAACACTTGGATTGCTATCACAAGGAAGAAAACATGACCTGAAAAGATACTRCTCAGTGTAGGAACCTCCCCCAGATTCTTCACTTTTTCTTCCCAGCAAATGATGGTGAAAGAATTCACTACATCCAGACATGTGCCTTGTCTTTGCTGGCTCCCTTACAGCTATGGACATGCGAGGTGCCAGGTCCTGAAACACCACAAGGAGTATCTTYGGTCTATAAGATGGTTGGTCCTACACGTGGAAGCTGGTGGCCTGGCAGTCCAGRAACATCCTATGACTGCTTCATCCAGTGTCATATAATCCTTACCATGGGTGACACTGAGAAAGCTCCTCGCATCTCACCATCAGATTGTCTCTTATGGACCATAGTGATGCCCTCTCTAAAGGGCTCAGTGTGGGGGCTTAAGCTTCTACCCATCAGTTCTGGACTTCCCTGGGACATGGGCAGAGATTATATTCTAACTATAAATCATCTGACTGAATGCCAGGCTATATTTGTGTAGACCACTGCTTTTAAAATCAGCCATTTGTGCGCCTGATGAACCAGCATTCCCCATCCATGCCATCACCCGTCAAGTGATAATTCATTTGCCCCTACATTTCCCAGTACTGCAGAAAACTGGCAGCCAATTGGGTTCAAAGATCAGTTTCTAATGAACCATGGACTTGGCAGATTTCTTCCTCTCATGACTCAGACTGTACCCTATTCCAGAAGCATTTCTGAGACCTGATAACCCTTCACAAATTGCTTCATGGGCACAGTGGGTTGTAAAAAGCCAGCAGTTTGGCCCCAGAACAGAGCGAACTGCTGAGCTTCCCCAGCCAAGGGCCTAATGCCATGTTCTTTATATCCTTTAAAGTGTTTGTCTGGCAAATAGCCCAGAAAATGACAGTTGCTTGTAGGAAAGAAGATGCTGAGGGAAATGTGCCTCTCATTTGAGCAGCTCCGAAGTGCTCCTTGTTCCAAAGAGGGGAAGACAAGAAGCTCTCGTGTTTTTACATCAGGCTTACCCCATTCCCAAGCACAAGGCCAGACTGTAGTACCACCATACTGCTCTATCACCTGTGACAAAGCTTGCTTTGATCTCAGTAGATGCCTTGGCAGGTGACATTTTCAAGCCCCTGTTCTATGACTCCATGAAGGAGTCCTGTCTTCTCTATAGCTTACAGGAGGAACAGCCTAAACCACCTTCAGCTTGGTCTCTGTCTCCTCTTGGTCCTTTCTGTGTCATCACAAGACTCAGAAATAGCAATTTCTTCTACTGAGACTCCAGAAGGATGCTCCACGATTTTGCTATATGATATCCCACCACTTTCCCACTTAATTTCCTCCACAGTTTTATTCCATCAAGACCTTTGAGACATGGGGGATTGTGTCTTCAATCAGAGACTCATGTTTCTCTGTGTCAAGATAAGGTCTTTTGAAAAGGGATCAAGAAGCAAAGAAAAGCAGAAATAAAGCAATGTTTCCTGGAAAGAGCCTCACAACACAGAACATTTTTCTACTGGTCACCAATCCATTTTGCCATGTCCTGAAGAGGAGAAGCAGGAGAGACAAGGAGAAGGCTTTAGATTGTCTTTGATGTCCTGTCTAAGAACACAAAGAGGAACCATGTAGGAAAAGGAGTGAATTTTCCACCAACTTGCTTTTACTGCTTCAGGAAGGACTCGAGATTTACATATATACAAGCAGATCTCCACTCTTAAAACTTCTGAAACCATCCCTGCAGCACTTAACTTAAATGGATGTAGGATTTGCTGCTTCCACAGGTGGGAGGAATTTTTTTTCAGTCGCTTGGAAAGCAGGGAGATTCAAGGACTTAAAAATTCATCTGTACCTCCTTAAACAGGATGAGGTTGGAGCAAGAAGCTTGGAAGGAACCCTGTGGTCAGTGTGAAGAAGTCTCAGATAGCAGGACTGATGCTGGAGCTCAGCTGGGAGTCTGGACACAGCTCCTAGGAAGCAGTGAAGCAGTGATACAGCTGCATGACAAACACGGCCCAGAAAGTCTTGATATCAAACCCATGGTATCATCCTGCCTTTGCTATGCTTTCATCCAGGAGTTTGAGGACAAGACTCACAGAGGTCTTTGGGGAAGCTGGGAATAACTTAGATGCAGGCAGTAGGATGCAACRGTCCATTTTCTGAAACTCGCTTGTCTTTTTGATCAGCACCTTTCACCCTCAAGATCTGCGTTACAAAGGGAACGAACTCCTGTCCCACTTCACCCAGGGCACCATAAAATTTGCAAGTGCAATATTAAGATCAGGTGAAGATCATTATGAGCAAATTCTGCCCTGCATAAAGTTGAGTACAAACAAAAGAAAAAATTAATAATTATATAATCACAAGATAAAGCTTCACTTGGAGGTAAGTGCATGGATTTGGACCAGAACAACTCCTTCTTGGAGAGTGTACTTTGGGCTTTGCGTGGCATGWTTAAAAAAAAACCCAGATATTCTGCAGTTTTGACTTGATGGCCTTACTGTGCAGCRCTGTATTAGTGCTGCCTTGTCTTGCCCTTAAAACGCTGTTTGCCACAGTGTGCTTAAATGCACCAGGACATGAAATCTAATTTGAGCTTTAAGGAGGTTTAAGATTTTGCTGGATTATTGCTTTTTTTTCTATAGGGATTTATAGGACCATCAAGCCAATGTTTTAAAAAGAAGACAGGGATTTGTTTTCACACACAAAGCTCTGGGGTCAGGGCAACATAATGCAGATGGAGATGTTTAGCACACAAAACTGACCTTAGCCCAGGCAATGCTTTCTTGTTTAATAAAATTAAATATGTTGTATAAGGAAGACTCAGATGAGAGCACTATGTGTCTCTTCTCTAATGGGCCTTAGCCGAGATGAAGAGGAGATAGTAGATGCTGTGTGATGCCCACAAAGATGAAAATCCAGGTCTCAGATGACACATCTGATGATGTCTGTCCCAGAACTGGAGCAGAGTCTGAACAAAAGCATCTTTAGCCTTCCTTTAGCCATCCTTTAGCTTCCTTTAGCCATCCTTTAGCCAAGCCTTAGCCTTGGTCCTTCATCTGTGATGAAGACTCTGAAGTACATAACCTGCCACACGTGATGTAGCCATAAGCTGGGGAAGGTTTGGTTGAATGTGTTTTTCAGTCAATCTCACCCTTTTCCCTGACAACAACCTAAGAACCAGGGCTGATCATGGACTAAGTCCTAAAGACTAGGGCCAGCCATGAATTCTAGAGGAACAGATGGAGGAGACACAGTTCTGACTCCTGCTTCCAAGTTGCTCTTTTAAGGCACCTGTTTTGCCATGCAGCAGCTTGCTGGTCATCAGTGCTTCCCATTTTCTCTGCAGGCAGATGATGTTGGGCTTGGATGGGATATGATATGCCAAATGGTGGGTGTTTTCATGCAGACATTGCTTCTTTCCTCTTATTCCCTCTGTCAAAACACGATGCATGAGGGAGAGAGGAGGAAAAGGACAAAATTGAGCCTTGACTGGAAGCCACTCAGGAAAGTCTTTAATGACTTGGGAATGTCCCAAGTCATTTAATAACTTGGGGAATGATATAGAGTGTGCTTATAAAAGCTGTGATGACACTGGGTTGAAAGGATTGAAAATCCTCTGGAGGCCAGGACCAAATTTTAGAGTGAATCCGAGAAACAGAGGAAATGGTCCAAAATCAATAAGACAAAACTTGATAAAGAGCAAAATCTTATACAAATCTTATCAAAGGCACTAATCCAAAACAGATGGTGGGCAACTAGGGACAAAATAGCCAGGAAACTCTGCAGACATAATACAGTTTGCTGCTGCTGCAAAATGTCAGGTATCCTTAGGGAACACAAATGGGAGTATTGAGATAAAACATGGTCATTAGCACTGTAGAGGTCAGGATGACTTCAGAGAAAAGCAGGACAAGAAAAGACATGGAGATCTGACCCATGAGGAAGCTCCAGAGGGACCAAGGTCCATTGGTGTTGAGGGAGGAAGAAGAKGCACCAGCCTTGGGAAAAGTAGATTGTTGCTGCAAGAAGGTTGCTAAACTGTGCTCTAGGTTCCTGGGGCAGATAGGAAAGAAACCACATCTTTGCAGCATTATTATGTTGATAATTTGATTAAGCAATGAGCCCAGTGAAGACTTGGGCTCCATCCAAGGGCAGAAAAAGATCTTTCCTTTCCCAAGACCTGCCTTATCCAGGCTGCCAACTAACCGCCTTGTTTTTCTCTCAGGATTATGCTGTGCAGCCCTCTTCATCTACCTCTTCTTCACACGTTTTTGGCTGATCAGTGCCCTCTACACAGCCTGGTGGCTGATAGACAGGGAAACACCCCAAAAAGGCGGGAGGCGGATTCACATCATCCGGAACAGTGTCGTCTGGAGGCACATGAGGGACTACTTCCCCATCAAGGTAAGTGTCACCAGTGCCTCTCGTGAGATTCAGCAGCTTGTTTTGTCCCCTGGTGTCTGATACTGTTATGATGAAGAGGTCTATATGCCTACACAGAAGGTGGGAGGTAGGACTGTCTGCCCAGCTTTCAAAATTACTGCGTGATCCAGTAAAAATATGGTTCAGCACTTTCACAACCACGTCCTTTCTTCATCTATCTGCCTTTTATGCACTCGCTTAACCTCACTGCATTCCAGGAATTAGGGAAGTCTCCCCTTGCCCATTTCTTGTGCATATTTTGCAACATTGCCTGGCATTTATGGGGCAGAGACAGGCTTAAGCTTTGACTAAACCTAAGAGTTCCTGGCTCCCTGCAAGGTCAGCATCTTCTCATTGGGGAAGAGGTTGAATGGGTTGCCATGTGTTTATTAAGCCCTCAAATACTCCAAAACCAGCCACAATGTGACAAGTGCAGAAGTTGGGACATACGCAGATACTTCCCAGGGCATAGTCTAGAGCTCAGCAYGTCAAGCATTGCTAAAAGCAGATAAAGCCCCGTGAATGCATCTTCATAAATTCATTCCATGCATCACCCTCTTATGCCATGTTCCTCTATTTCACCAGGATGCCATAAAATAATGGATCATTTGCAAATTTTGCTTTCATAATGCCCAYTGTGATTTATTTTTTCCTAGAGATGGCCATTTTTGTCTCATCAGACTYGGGTGCAAGAGGCACAGAAGACAAAATGTACTTTGCTGGTCAAATTAGACCAGTGCCTTACATCTCCACTGTGGAGATGATTAAAGTAAATCTATCTAATTTTCCTCTGACAAATGCTCTCACGTCTTCCCATGTCTCAGCTGGGTGAACAGTATCTCCCTTAGTCTCTACAAGGTCATCTTTCTTAGCAAGACTGCCTGTTTGCTCTGTGTCTTAGTGCCCCATTGCTTTTCTTTGGCAGCAGAGGGAGGCTGAGGTCCTGCAATGAGTTATATCATGGCTTATCTCATTGCTGGAGCTCTAATCCAGAGCTTTCACAGTGATTTAAAGGGCTTCTGGCTGACCTTCAAAGAAAAGCTCCCAAAAGGTATATCATGGTCTTCTGGGAAGGAATGGGAATCCATCCTAGCAAAGTTAGTGGTGACTTTTACTGTAAGGGACAGGTAAAATGTTATGAGGTTTAATAGGAAACAGCAAGTAGGTTCCAAAGATATTCTGCAGTTTCAAGGTTGCCACAGAAAAATGCTAGTATTGCTATAAGCTGTTTATATGGATAGAATGTTTTCATATTTTATGTATTCTGTAAGTTGTCAGTGACCATCAGTCTCAACTTGGACAGGCTTGGATCAACCTGTCTGCTAAATCACAGCTAAGGCTAGAGATGCTTCTTTACTTATCCCTCCATAAATCCATAACCACCCTCCCTCCTCCTCCTAAAGGCCGGAGTGACGTCTGGACCAGTTGAGGAGCAGGTCTTGGGAGCCCTGACCACACTSGTTTGTCTGTCTGTCCATCCCTCCATCCCGCCATCCTTCCTTCCCAGGGTGTAGCTGCCAGGCAGGGGTGCAAGGGACCAGTATGACCAGTAGAGGGAGCGTTGATACTGGTTTTGGCTGCAGCTCACTGGTGCTGAGACAATTCGGAAGAGCTCTTGACAATTGGTCTAGGAGAAATTGGAGGGGACTTCACAAAAGCACTGCAGAAAGCAAAAATTCTTGAAAGGTTTTAAAAAGCAAGCAATCATGTATAACAAAATTTTCCCCAGATTTTYTTTTCTCCGTCTTTGATGCTGTGTTTGCTCAGGGACTTCCAGAGCCAGAATAAGTCTAAGGATTTAACAGCCCTTCATCAAGGTATCCGTCTTGCTGAGCCATTTTTTTTTTTTTGGTCTGATTGCGAGGAGACTTGATCTCCAGCCACAACTAAAGAAGAGTTTTACTAAAAAATAAATCATAAAACACTATTGGATGTTAATTGTAGCTCAGGAGCATGGTGAGTCCCAACCAGGGCATCACCCCATGGGGCTGGGGGACACGCAGGGTGGGAGAAGCGGCACAGCAGTTGCTGCGGGCACCRTCAGCTGCATTTGTGTGTTTGTTGAGTTCATTTAGCCCGGGAGGATTAGTTATTCTGGGAAGATTAAATGTAGCTCCTAATCCTCCCAGATCCTGCAGCGAACTGTGTAGTCAAGTGCCAGTGTCTGGAGGTGAGGAGGCAGCAATTGCTGCCTGCTCCACTCATCCCTCTGCTATTTTCAAGYGCTGTTTTTGGGGGCTCCCTGGGTATGTCTGGTTCTACAGGAGCAGCAAGAGGATGGGATGAGCATTGTCCTGCTGGGGAAATGGGCAGGGTGAGCTGCTTCCTGTAGCAAACACCCCTCAACTCGAGCATTATCTCTACAACACAGACAAGGAGCATCTTTTGCTGATACTACCTTTTCAGAGCTAACACATCATCACTTTTTTTTTTTTTTTACCCCCCCTAGACTTAAGGCAATTTTAATTAGGGATTGAGTCAGACAAGTGCTGAGAATGTTGTGGTGCATTTGAAAAGGGATAGAAGAAAGCAGAGAGGACTCAAGAGGAGTCCATCAGGATGCCCAGGAAAGCTACTTTTGCATCATCTTCCTGTATTTTAACCTTGTTTGAGTATTTTTTCTTTTGCATGTCTGCATGATTGGCTTGCAATGTATGAGTGAGCTCAACTGGGTACTAGAAGTGGGGAAAACATTCCAAAATGTGCAGAATTAATTTGTTTGGTGCAGACCAAGGGATATCCAGTGATGTCTACTGTGGGTCGATGGACCATTCAGAGATATATTTGGATGCTTTGGACTGCTCTACCTATGCTACGTTCAAAAAGAAGTTAAGGCCTACTACTGCCAGGTCTCTGCTCAAACCCTTATCTTCATTCAGACAGTACCTTTCTCTCTGGAAGGAATATCACTTGTTTGAAGCCATACACCCCACATCACAGTAAAAGGCTCTTTCCAATCCAATCCTTTTCAATCCTGAATTCATCCATCATCACATGGCCAAGTGATGGCACATTTTCATGCCTTCTCCTCCATCCCTGTCCTTTCCTGTTAGCATAAGACCGTTGTCMTTGAACTTCCTTCACTGACACACCTCAGGTGTTTTGGGGACCTCASCTGAGAAGCACCATGGAAATGTAGAGGGTGAGGCCTGGGATGAAATGGGGAAGGAATTTGTTTGGCAAGCCATCAAAAACCATCCCTACTCTCGCCCCAAATGTCTCTCCCACTGACTACAGRGGGAGCCTGGGTACTTGGCTTACGGTGGACATCTCACCTTCAGGTCCCTCAGGCTGGGTTACATCTTAAATCAAGCAACAGGAGGCTGAAACTGAAGTTGCAGAAGGGCAGATCTTGTCTTCAGGTGCTGGGATCATCCAGAACAATCCTGAAAAGCTACAGCTACTAGTTTCATCCAAGGCAACCTGAGAAATGCCTGCTGTAGAAAGGGTCCCTGTGGTCTTCACTGTACTGTTTTCTTCTCATCAAAAGTCACAGGATATTTCTCATCAACCTTAGGATTATCTAAGTGCCAGCTGGACCTTATTATCTATAGCAAATGGCAAAGTCCCAACCTTTATCATCATGCTTAGGGACTTGCTGGGTTTCTTTTGTTAGTGTAAATAAGTGTCATTGGAGACTTAGTTGAGCACTAGAAGTTCTGGATTGGAATGGCTCCATCCTGTACTAATTCTCATTCATTCTCAAAATTGCATAAACCGTGATTGAGGTTATTTGAGGGGGTTGTGGTTCTGGGAGAGTGCTTGACATTGTACAGCTGGGATGGTTCAAGTGCACGTGAACCAAGCCCTGCCAGGGATATTTTGTTTGTTTTCATAGAAAAGTGTYATTATTTGTAACCAGGGACTTTGTGTCGTGGCCCATGACGCTAAACATGACTTTTAATTTCTGACAGTCGTGGCTATTCACTTTTCTCATTCATTGGCTGGAGGAGAGAAGAGGACAAGAGCAGCACATAGCCAAATGGCCCAAAGCCACTTCTCTCCCTTTGAGGATTTTCTCCAGTGTTGACACCTGCAGTCTATTTCCTTGGGCACCTGCTGGYAGTGCTGATATATTTGCCCTTCCTTTGATGTCCTGGCCAGAGAGACCCTTGAATGAGTTGTCAACTTTCCTTCTCCTTGGTACAGCCCTTTGATCTAAGGGACAATTCCTTCTTCTATGGATCTGGTTCGTCTGTAAGCTCTCCCATGGAGAAACCAGCTGGGCGTTTCATCCTGTATGAGATGCCTTTTGGAGAGGCCTGAGTGGTTCTGAGTGGACAGATTAGGACATAATTAAAGGAGATCTCTGCTACTTTCAGCAAGAAGCGCAGTTGGATGCTCAAGACTTCAGAGTGGGTTAATGAACATTCCATCATTGGAAAAGGAGTTTGGGGCCAGGAGGAGAGAGAAATACAATAACAGTTGAATTTGGGAGGCTCTAAATGAAGAAGCCACAAGCCTGCTCATCTATTGTGCTGACCACATCCTCCTCTGCATGGCAAATGACTGTTGGGGTAACTCCACGCAGCCCCTGAGTCCTATCACAACACAGTCATTCATTCCTATGGATGTCATGCCATGGGTCACCCTGGTACACAGGCATCACCTGATATACTTACATCTCAACCTGATGCTCTTGGTCAGCCAATTTTAAATCCCTCCAGCCCAACAGATGAGGCTGGCTGAGTCTTGACTGTTGCTCATGGACATGCTCATGGACATGCTCATGTTGAGCACCTGATCCTACAGCCCTTTGGACTCATGGAGAACTGAACTTTCCTCGGGTGTCTGTGCACCAGCTTTATGCATGGAATGACCCTCTTTTCCCCAGGCTGTGGGGCAGGAAGGCCCAGCCATCTCAAGGGGTGAATTAAAGCAGCCTCATTAAATCAGTGTTGAACTCCTGTGCCGATATATTCACACAGAACTGACAGAGCCCTAATTCCAATTAGCTTAATTCCACTCCAAAATGAATTAAAAACCAAAACAAACACCAAACGAAGGCCAGTTTAATTCCAGTTAAGAGCATCTWCTTGGGATGTTAATGCGGTTTAACTAATCCAGTTTAAAATTAATTTGGATTAATTTGCCTGAAAGCCTCACCAGTACATGTGCTCCTGAAGACAGACATATTCTCTAACATGGCAGATGAATGTGCGGAGCACTCAGCCATGTCCCTGGGGGAAGTAACCCAAGGCAGATTTTCACCATGGCTTGGATGTACTCTTTGAGTAGGCAGAGCAAAAGGGAGTTTCAGCTACTACGTTAGCTGGAGTGCTAAACAACTGTAAATATCAAGCTAACTCTCCTTGAAGGGAAGGTTTGCCCAGGTTTTCCCAACATCCCAGCAGTATCCTAGTACCTCCCATCCTGCAGCAGTGGATAGTCCTTCAGTGTCTGGGAGACCTTCATGCCATGCAGCCATTATCCCTGCAGTGCAAACATCAGTACTCTTGTTGGTTCCCTCTGCTCCCTCTATCATCTGCAGAGACGTCCACAGACCTTTAGGGCAGGATTTCTCTGTCCTGTTGCAGAAATCCACTGTAAATACTGAGTTACACTTCAAAACATGGATTGAGGTCCAAGTGAAAAAGTAGGTTCTATCCTTTAAAATAAAAGGTTAAATTTATTTGTTAGGATGGCCAAGATCACCCAACTGGAAAACGTTGCACCTTCCAGCCAGGCCTCATAACGCCATTGATGAGGGGCTACTGCTGCTGTCAGCAATCCATCTCATCCCCTCTCCATCTCTGAATTGTGCTGTCCTCCCCTACAAATACAAAAGGGCCTAGAAAGCAGAAGSAGATCCCTGGCTCTCCATGACTCACATGATCTCCTCTACCCTCCAGTCTTCTCCACCACCTGCAGGACACAAACCTGCATCCAAGGGAAAATTCTGGGGAAGCCAGCGAACTGACAGTTGTGGTTGGAAAGCACAGCCATAGCCCTGAGAAGACAACGACTCTTTGTCTTCAGGCTACAGGTCAGTCACACACATTTGGCATCCCTCAGACCCCTTTGAGATGAGAGGCTGCTCTCAGTTTACCAAGAAAACTTTAGGTCAATAAGTTGTCCTGCTTAGATGTTTACGCACAGATTTGYTTGGCCAGACTCCTAAGTCCTTGGGCAATCATTAAAAGCTCAACTCACCCAGGAAGAAAAGAGCAGCAAATGCCACTCTGCAGATGAGGAATTGGCAACCCAACCAACCCAGGAGGGAGGAGAGTCCCTCCCCACTGTACCTCAACCCCAGCCTTAGTCCTAGGAGCAGCCAAGCCATGTAGTTCAAGGCTGAGTAGTATAAAATCTGGGCTGTGTGGTGTCAGGTATTAACTTTCCTTACAGTTTGGGAACACTGCACGTCATCAACCAATTGACCTCTGACAAGAGGAGGTACAAGGAATGAATAAACAACGGGAACAATCTAGATCAGAGGATCGAGTTACTGCCTTAAACAGTTTCCAGGAGAAGGGTGGTTTAGTGACCAGGGGCCTGACCCAGGGTTCAAGAGATTTTGTTCAACTCTGTTCTCTGCTACAGATTTCCTTCTTGATCTTATTCAAATTCCTTAATCTCTGTTTATGTTGATCTCACACCTGCCACATGAGGATAACACTGCTGCCTTATCTTCTTGGGTCGTTGTTACAGCAAACCTGTGAAGGACTTTCAGCCTTTGATCCTGTGATAGGAGAGGTGTTACMGAGAGACGAAAGTGCAAACCAAACAGGGAGCTCTGTGCAGGCTGCAAGCTCTACTCCCAGCTGAAGCTGTCTGGGAAAATGTGCCAAGGTGGCACCAACCTGAACTTCTCAACAAAATCCTCATCCAGACTGTGTTGTCCAAGCATGAACAGAGTGTGGCGAGGATAAGGACCTTCCCTCCACTCTTTTGGTTGTGCACTGGACCAGGCCAAGCTCACAATGCTGAGAGACATAAAGAATTTAACCATGTCACTGGGATGGGGTCATGGCTACTGCAGGCTAATGCAGAAGCATTGACCAAAGCCACCAACTCTTGAGTGGCCAAACTCCTACCCTGTAGCTGCCCATGGATTAGAGCAGGGACCTGGGTGTGCAGATCATCCTTAGGTTCCAAAATGCATTTGTGAGTCTGATGAAAAAGACCAGTTCAATCCAAGACTGATTGAGTTTGGTTCTGGATGCAGCGCAGCATTTGTCAGAAAGAGATATGTGGCTCCATGGTTGTCATCATCCCCACAGCTTTTCCTAATATACTCACTAGGCATCTTTTCCTTCTCTTTCCTRTTTGCCTTGAGTCAGCATGCCTATAATGATCAAAATGCAAATACATAAACAGTTTGAGGTCCACATTCACCCACATTCACCATGTCCCATTCTTGGTCCTGCTCTGAAGTCTACCTAAACTATCAGACTTAGTGATGTCTGACACCTCTGAGTATCTTGCCTGCCTGGCTATAAATGACACAAAGATGAAAGGCTGCGTGGAAGCAGAAGATGAATGCAGCAAACATTGATGCCAGCTGAGATTACTGCAGAATGAGCAAATCGTGGCAGGGGCCCTGGATACTTTGTAATGCAGCCATCTGCCCCTCTTCCTAGATGTAAATCTCAGCACCAAGGTCGGGCCTTTCTGTTTGTCCATTCTCCTCATTAGGAACAGGCGCTTGAATGGACTCATGTGTAGAGTCAACAGTGCCTTAGGACAGATGAGATATTAGCCCTGACATTAGAATGTAAAATACACCCTCATGATTAACCTGCTGCTCTGGTGGCTTCTAGGAAAGCATACGCACCATTAGCTACTCCCTGAACATGGGAGAGATCAGAGGAAGGAACAACTCATTAAGAAGCACAAGACCTTCATGCACAAGGTTGCCTAGAGAAGTTGTGGAGTCTCTGTCTCTGGAGATTCTCAAAGCCATCTGGATAGAGTCCCAGGCAAAGAGTGAGGTGACCCAGTGTAAGCAAGAGGGTTGGAGTAGATGATCCCCAGAGGTTCCTTYCAACCTCAGCTGTGATTCCTTGATTCTGCTAAGTCACCTTTGAACTATTTGGCTTTGTAACAGCCTGTCTTGGAGAAGCCCTGACTTTCTCAGCATTCTGAGGCCTCATGACATCCACATCCACAGGTACCTCTGTACCTGTGCCAGCCAAGGTTCAATTTTTGACTTATCCTGATACCATCGTGTGCTTTATGGCCGCTATTTGGATACGGAGGTCTACTCAATGGTGCAGGTTAAGTCTGAGTTGTCATCTCAGGCTGGCTCTTCACTGTCTCATCCAATAGTTGATCTCAAGGGGGATCACAGCATCTCTCATGCAGGGGACAGATGTAAAAGAACCAGAAACGTAGCTTTTCACATGACTGGTAGCAATCTGTGGGACTCATTGCCAAAGGATGCTATGGGAGGCATGGAAGAAACTCTGTGAGTGCTTAAATTGGAGAGGACAGATAAGTTAAACCTGCAGAGACACGTCCGGCTGAGCAAACCTGCAGAACTGGAAGCACATGAAGCCTTAAGACAGTCATAGGGGAAAATCTCTCTTTTTGTGTGTATGTTTTTGTGTTACTTTTCCCTGGGTCCAGTTATGGTTACTAGGATATGTGCTTGGCTAGTGGGGTGCCTTGATCAGATTCAGTTTGTATAAATGCAGGGTTTTGGAAGGAGGAGTCTTGTCCCAACACTGTCCCTCTTTCCCTTCCCTTGATCCTCTTCCAAAGGCATCATTGCTGTGGGGACTGAATGGGGGATAAATGTGCAATTGATTTTCTTACTAGAAAATGTCCTGGAGGAGGTTTTTTGGGGTTCCCAACAGCTTGTAGGCCAGCTCAAAATGACACAAATTGTGCCATTGGAAATGAAATGTTTAGCCATTCTGGGTAGGGGAGAATGAGGAAAAAAATGCATTTCCATAAAAAAGTCTTGGGTCTGTCCAGTCCTCTCTTTGAAAAAGTTCCTCGGAAAACCCTCTGCAGCCAATGGCACTAACGTGCTACACCCTCTTGTCCCTGTCTGTGGATCCAGCTGGTGAAGACAACGGAGCTGGACCCTCGCAAGAATTACCTGCTGGGCTTCCACCCCCATGGCGTCCTGGCGGCCGGGGCCTTTGTCAACTTCTGCACGGAGGCATCAGGCTTCTCCACGCTCTTCCCAGGCATCACGCCACACCTGATGATGCTCTCGCTGTGGTTTCGCATCCCCTTCCTCAGGGACTACCTGATGAGTGGAGGTAACTGGGGCAGCTGCGCAGGGGGATGTCCCTGGAAAGACATGGGAAGGGCAGGAGAGYGGGATGTCCTTTGGGGAGGGAGGCTGAATACCCCAAGGGGAGGCTTAGGAAGAGGAGCCAAGGCTCTAGTTGCCTCCATCTTCAAGTCAATACACGGACACAGCTGCTGGAGGTGGCACCAGAGGCTGAACATGTTCAGTTTGATGTTAAAAACTGCCTTTCTAGTTTTGTCCTCCATCACTTGACATACCAGATCCCCATGAATCTACACTGTCTATGTAACCTTCCATGACCTCCATATTTATTTATTTCCCACACAAATAACATCTGGGTTATAGTAATGTTGCGTGCTTGAGGACAAAACCACAACTTTCCAAAGGAAATGGCAGAGAAGGAAGACAAAATATGAAAGAGTAGGTAAAAATTAACAGGAAGAGGGTGAAGAGAGATGGTGGAGAGATCAGGAGTGCCTTCCTCCTGCCGTTGATGATCACTCCATTGGAAATACTGTTTCTTTACTCATCTATTCATGACCAGTAAGAGAAATCTCCAGACAGACAGCAGGCAAGCCTGCACTTCACCCTGCACGGTGTGGTTACTCATATACTAAAGATAAACCATTTTTAAGCTCTGTTTTTAGCCTAAAATGAACATGGATCTTGTTTAGTTGCATAGTAGAGACAGAGGCAGGATTCAAGAGACTAAACACAGAATCACAGCATCACAGAATGGTTGGAAGGGACCTCTGGAGATCATCTAGTCCAACCTCCTGCTCTAGCAGGGATACCTAGAGCACATGGCACAGGGTGGCATCCAGACAGGTTTCGAAGAGCTCTAGAGAAGGAGACTGCACAATCTCCCTGGGCATCCTGCTGCAGGGCTCTGGCACCCTCACATGGAAAGGTGCCATTTCTCATATGGAGATGGAGCTTCCTGTGTTTCAGTTTATACCCATTGCCCCTTGTCCTATCAGTGGCTACCACCAAGAAGAGTTTGGCACCTTCCTCCCTGCATCAGCACTGAGCTCTACCTGATATACCTCCGTGTGTTCGTTGCATGGTGTTCCACCTAAAAATATTTACATGGATAATGGAAAGTCAAAGCAGTGAGATATGAGACCACTATCTGCAATCAGGGGGCCAAATCTTCATTAAGTTTCACTTTACCATAGCCACATCCCCTGAAATCCCTATGTGCTTTGGTGTTTGATGTGTTTGATRGTTGGATTTAGGGTTGGACATGGCTTCATTTGGCAACAGATAGAAGCATATTTCCACCCTGGGACTTGTCTGCGTCTAGTTTTTAGTTTACTTACTTTTGGGGGAGGGAGGGAATTTCTCTCTTTGCGTCTGGGTCAGACAGCACTTTTAAAATCCTGCAGGTTTTACAGATCTTCACTTTTTTTCCATAGAATCATAGAATGCTTAAGGTTGAAAGAGACCTTTAGAGATCATCTAGTCCAACCCCCCTGCTCACGCAGGGTCACCTAGAGCACGKGGCACAGGGCTGCGTCCAAGCGGGTTTTAAAGATCTCCAAAGAAGGAGACTCCACAACCTCTCTGGGCAGCCTGTTCCAGKGCTYTGTCACCCTCACWGTSAAGAARTGYTTCCTTAAGTTCCTGTGGAACTTTTGGTGYCTCAGCTTGTGGCCRTTTCCTCTAGTCCTATCGCTGTCCACCACTGAAAAGAGTCCGGCCCCCTTCTCCTCACTGCCTCCCTTGAGGTATTTATACACACTGATCAGGTCCCCCCTCAGCCTCCTCTTCTCCAGGCTGAACAGGCCCAGCTTCCTCAGCCTTTGCTCACAGGGCAGATGTTCCAGGCCCCTGATCATCCTCGTAGCCCCGCGCTGGACTCTCTCCAGCAGCTCCACATCCCTCTTGTCCTGGGGAGCCCAGAGCTGGACACAGTCTCCAGATGTGGCCTCACCAGGGCTGTGTAGAGGGGGACGATCACCTCTCTCGACCTGCTGGAGACGCTCTTCTTAATGCACCCCAGGATCCCATTGGCCTTCTTGGCCACCAGGGCACACTGCTGCCTCATGGTCAACTTGTCATTCTCCACGACGCCCAAGTCCCTCTCTACAGAGCTGCTCTCCAGAAGGTCAGTCCTCAGCCTGTACTGGTGTCTGGGCTTATCCTTCCTCCTTTCCTTCTTCTCTGTCACCCAGGCCTGGTCCCCTCTGACAAGGAGAGCGCATCCCATGTGCTGCGGCGGCCTGAGGGAGGCAACTTGCTGACCATCATCGTCGGTGGGGCGCAGGAGGCGCTGGACGCCCGACCAGGCTCCTTCATCTTGCTGCTGAGGAAGAGGAGGGGCTTTGTCCGCCTGGCCATCGAGCATGGGTGATGAAGGGCATGGGTGATGCTCCAGCATGAGGCTGGTCAAAGAGCGGAGTGGGGAAGGGGAAAGCGTTTGGACGCTGGTGCTGAGCTATTGTGTCTCATTGTCGCACAGCACCCCGCTGGTCCCTGTTTTCTCCTTCGGTGAGAACGAGCTCTACGAGCAGGTCAGCAACCCCAGGGGCTCCTGGCTGCGGTGGCTCCAGTACCAGCTCCAGCAGATCATGGGTGTCTCCCTGCCCCTCTTCCACGCGCGAGGCATCTTCCAGTACAGCTTCGGGCTCGTCCCCTACCGCCGACCCATCTACACCGTGGGTGAGTCCCTCCTCGGCACAGGGTTGTGTGAGCAGTCCCACAACAAAAACAGAGCTTTTGCATGAGGAAGAAATGCATTTTGAGTTGCTTTCCCTCCTGGCTAAATTGTCACCTGGAGAAACATCTTGTTTTTTGTTAAGGTAGTGGTAGTATCTGGCAGGAGATGTAAATAAAAACTTAAAAATATGATGGGAAAAGACTTCCTGATCCAGCAGGTAGCTTGAAACCATAGCTCTCTGTGCAGTGGTTTCACCAGCCCAGCTTAAGGAAAGGACTGGACATCAGTTGGAGAAGAGCAGGTTTAAAGCAAAGGCGATAATGCAGAGGGTGGACAATGCATGAGTTGGGACCCCCGGTGATAAAGCCATGTCCCTTATATTGCCATATTCCTATTTACTGCCATGCCTGTGAGAGCCCAAATTTCAGGAAACTTTCTGGTTTTGGAGAAGTTTCAGCTGTCTTCAGCACTGCTCTCCCCAGCCCACAAGCACATGCTCTGGATGAGGCTAATTAAAGAGGCTGGTAGGAAAGGTCAGAGCTGGCCCTTGTTGATCAGGTTTGACAGCCAGCAATTACTTCTAATTGTTTTACAACCTGTTTGCCTTGTCTCGATGGCTTTACAAGCCACACGGTGTCACAAGGACTCTTCCTTAGTCCTATGAAGAGCAGCCTTAGTGAGAAAACCCATTGCCACTTGACAAACACAATTAAAGTGAGATCCAGAACAAGAGCGGCAACTCAACACAGGTGCCTCCGTTTCCTCATCTGCAATGGAGATTCCCAGGGCAACATGGAAATGGCTCACAAAGCCAAGCCGAGTTGTTAGGTCACCAAAAGACGAGCTGGGATTTGAGCTTGCAGCTCCCTATCTGCTGCTTTCCAATCTGCCAGACAAATATGACTGGTCACATTAATCCTGCCATAGAAAGTGACCCTGTACTAAGCTGTGCAAAGCAACCAGATGTGCACAACACCAAGCTGCAGTTCCTCTTAACATCTGGGGTTTTTTTTTGCAGTTGGAAAGCCAATTCCTGTGCAGAGGAAGCACAACCCCTCTGAGGAAGAGGTTGATCAGTTGCATCAGAAATACTTAGAAGAAYTGTCCAAGCTCTTTGAGGAGCATAAAGCGAAATATAACATCCCTGAAGACAAACACCTCGAATTTATTTAGAGCTCCTCGTGTGAGTGTAAGCCACAGAATTCAAGCTCCAAGTTTTCCCTCTGTCTCTGGGACTAATTCACAATTTTRCCTTAGTCACAGTCAACATATGGTCGATGCAATGTTGGGAGCAGGACTTTTTTTTTCGCAGCATTTCATGGGTCTACAGTCTGTTTTCATCTTCTCTCTGTAGGACACAGACACAAAAAGATAAGAACAACAAAGAAAAATCCCATTCAACCAACTCAGCACTATTAAAACATCCTTGTAGAAAACTCAAAATTTGACCCTGGCTTAGGCTAGGTTTTCAAGTTACTTCCAGATAGAAATGAATTATGGAAACTTTCTTTCATATTTAATCCAAGTGCCATTTTCTCAGACTGGCCAAGAAAAAATTCACTCTGGAAAATGTCCTCAAAGGTATCTACCAGGATAACCAGGTCTTTGCTACCACTCAGTTCTCTGACTTCATGAAAAATTCACAGCTTTTTTTTTTTTCTACCTAATGGATGGGAGTATCTATCTGACCGCTCAACTCAGGCCAGTCAATAGAAAAGAGATGATGAGCCATAATTTCTGCTGAATGTATATATATTTTAAATTGTCATTTGTTTGGATTAAATGATTGCTCTTCTCTATGCTCACTGCTCTTTGAGTCTTTAATCTCGCTGGGCTTTTTCCCCTGACAAAAGCACAGTATTTTAGAAAGCTCCCATTTCTGAACCTTCTGCAGCCTAAGGAAGAGCTCTAGGCTGACGCTGAACCCTGCTGAAATTAAGAAGAAAAAAACCTTTATCACAGGCAAAGTTAGTCCATGTCTTTGCAGCACTTGCAGACTTGCACATTACCCTCATTTCACCACATCGTGTTACAGCTGTGCCCAGACTCAAGCTTTACAAAGCAGCATTTTTCTAGGCCTGGCGAAATACTGAGGATYACAGAGATGACTGGGTTAACTGAGGCCCTGAGGGCTTGGTATTTTAATGCATACATGCACTATGCACACCTCAACTGCTACCAAACAAGCTACATCCAAGCTTTGTGGTAGAGCATGACTGGAACCCAAGATTCCTATTTTTCTTAATTTGACTTCCGTCACCCTCCATGGAAGGGCCTTGGACCAGCGACCAACACTGATGCTGCAGAATACACTACAAAAAGGAGGTGTGTTATATTGTTTACAAAACTGGGCCATTTCTTAAGCAGATAACATGGCCAGAAGATGGTAGATGGGAGAAGTGATTTGGGACAGGAAAGATAAAGCCCCTTTTGGCAGGTGATCAAGGCTTTAAATAGCTGCTTCTTGATATCCAGAACTTTATTAAACTCTGCACTTAATGGGATTTAGCAGCGTGGAAGTTTTAGGTGGCCAGGAGCCATCTGCTCAGATCAGCTTTACCTTGTCCCTATGGACTTCTCATATCATCTCTCTTACATCTGGGATTTTTATTACTGCAATGAAGGAAAACATATAGATCTGCTTCTAAGCTAGCTTTCTCATTGTTAGACTATATTTTCTTTTCTTTTTCCTCCCTGCTCAGCCCCAATCAAGTTACTCCACAGGCTTCTTAGTCTGGATGACCTGCTGTAAATCCCTCCCCTTCCCAGAGAACAAGCAACAATGGGGAATAAAGAAAAACAATGGAGCTCTTCTTGGCATTTCTAAGCACTCCTCTTGTAATCCCGTGCTTAAGCCAGTCAAAAAAAGCAAGTTGCTTGCTATCWTTCCTTGCTTTTCTATTAATAGATTTTCTTTTGCTTTGGTCTTAATTAAGAGTAGAGGTGCCTAAGTAGGAGGGAGATTTCTAGGTCAGGAAAATAGAACTAATGCTCTTCCAATCCTCCCTCGATGGGAGGAGTAGCTGGGTGCTACTGTCAGAGTGGGAATTAGCAGTGCAAGAGGTAGACGAATGGAGGACCCAAGCCACATAGTGCATAGTGGAGACATGGGAATATGAAGGAGCCTCTCCAGGTCATGGACAAGGATCATAGACCCTAGGACAGACCAGAGGAGTGGGATTACATCAGCAGGMGGGACATGACCCATCCAGAGACCAGTGAAGGAGCCCCAGTACAAGATGGGCTCTATAACTGATCATTGAGGCTTTGGTCTTCACCTTTGGGGTCCTGAGTGGAGGTGTCTCAGGTGCTGGAKGAGCTACATGGGAGATGAGATGGCTCATTGATCTCCCAATGGGTGATGCCAGGCAGAGAGGCAAAGACAACCAAAAGCAGGGGCCAGGAGGAGCATGAGATCCCAAGGCAGAGGAAAACCCTGGTGCTAGCACAGCTCCCAGCACCAATGTGGGCTCCTAGACTGGATCAGACCCTGTGTAGAGGAGACCCTGTCTGCCGAGGTTGGTGTCACTGGACACTACCAGCTGCCCGAGTCTGAACTGAACATGAGTGATTTTCCCAAAACRGAGCAGATTGTCTCTCAAGAGCCTTCTCTCAAGGCCTAGTGCCTTGGGTATTGCAGAGGACCTGAGTCCCCTGCCTTGCCCTATCCCAAAAGCTACCATGACCATCAAAAGCTACAATGAGAAAGCCAGGAGCCATGCAGGCTGGTTTTGCCACGTGCTCCTGAAACACAGATGCTGGCCAATAAACCAGAAAGTGGGTGCAGACACCTCCGGAGCCCCAAAACCCATAAGAGAGAAAACTCTCCTCCAAGAATGCCCTTCTCCTGGGGAGAAGCCATCTCTCCTTTGGATAAAACCTATTTCAGTGTGATTGCTTTGGCCCATTGCACTGCACCGGACCGAGCGAGCACAGCCTACAGCTGGAGGTGGGGGATCAGAGGAGGACATTGGCTATTTATAATTAGCTTCATTAGAGGTCAGCTTTTTTATCTCAAAGACTGGGACATGCCCTTGATTCCCCAGGGACCTAAATAAACTGGGAGAGATCAGTGCTCAGTTTTGCATTAACCATGACATTAATAATAATAATAATTCATAGGCATTCTTGCAGCTGGGAGCTATTTAGGAGGCCCTATGCAATGCAAGGTCTTGTCTTCTCCAGAGCTGCTTTTGTGTTATTTTGGGCTGGAGTAAAGCTTTTTGGAGAATTAAAACTCCTTCTGCAAGAGAAGATCAATGTGGGGAGCAAACTGGATGCAGATACCTCCTTGACTGCAGCTACGCTTGGATTTGCACTTGGCATCTCCAAACAGGCTCAGTCCAAAGCACAAATACTAAAAACTGAGGGCAACCAAGTAGTAGCCAAAGCAAACGAGGCCCATGTAACACTGGAATGACAGAGCACATCCCCTTCCAGCATTCCCACCTGCTATTTCTGCTGCTGACTCTGATCTGAGAAACAGCCCCTATGCGAACAGATGGGTTTGATGGTTCTCCTCCAGAACAGGGGAGGTTGGATGAGCAGATCGAAGCCTTTTTTTCAGTACTTCTGGAAATTCAAAATCGCCAAGTGCTCTAAGAAATAGCAGTGTTACATTTCTGTATCCGCTGCCTGCTCCTTCCTCATCATATCTCCAGCAGTTCTGTTACGAGAGGCTTTAATCTGGATTTGCCATGCTTAGTGGGTTCGGATCATGAGGCTCAGGAAAAAAACCCTGACAACTGATGAATACCAAACACTGCCTAATTCCCCAGGAGAAAGAAAGCTGAACAAAATGATTTATTTATTTATTTATCTTGCYCTCCYATAGCTCTTCCATGCTAGGGCTGCAAAATGTTTTGACAGCTTTGGGAATGATGTTGATAGGTTGCTTGGCACTGGGACAAGCAGCTGGAAAATTGGTGTATTTGGCATTGGGACAAGTAGCTGGAAAACTGGTGTATTTCAGCAGGCTGAAAGACTTCCCACTCCTAATTCAGGGTAGGCCCAATATGTGGTACCTTAAGCAACTTCATCTTCGTGCTACTGAGTTTTTATATATACAGGATTTAAAGAAATACTGGCTATGTCCAACCCGCTTTTTATGATGGGCATCCTGGGGTATGTGGCATTTTTATGCTACCCATTCCCAATTCATGCCCAGCTGGTGTGGGAGTGCTCAGTGGTGGCTAAGCTGTCTAATTCTACTAAACTCTCAGATGCTGCATGTCTCCTGTGCTTCAGCCTCCTTATTTTTCAATAAGTACCAGGAGAGCAAGGCAGAAGCAGAGAATTATGCAAGGAAAAATTACTGGAATTACCTGAAGTCTCTCTCGGTTGTGAGAAATGCCTGCAGAAAATGCAAACAAGTGATTCATGGCCAAGGGTGTGCATGTGTGTGTGCGCCCTGGAGGAACTCAACTCCACATCATAGAGGACTTTGAACTCGAAGCACAACTCGGCATTGCCAAGAGTACATAAACAAGGCTATAGGGTCCCTCCAGCGAGGAGATAGCATAAGGTCGGGATTTGAGGCAGAGTTCACCGAGTGCTTAGTTTGTACCAGCTAGAAAGGGGATCCTTTAAGCTGCCTCGTGGTGTGATCTCTCAGAAAGATTAGGTACCTCATTTTACCCATTAGTAACCCAAAATCTTGACTCCAGGGCCCGGGTATCATCAGGTCATCATTTGCTCCGAGTTACTGTCTCCCRGAGGAAGGAGTGAGTGAGGTTACAGTTTTTCCACATGTTTTATACCAGGCCCAGGGCAACACCTGCAAATCCCATGGTGTTTCTTGCTTCCAAGAATGACACAAGCACTTTACAAGCAAATACAATCTGTAATCCCCAGAGCAGCAGTGCCTTTAACGCCTCTGTTGATGCTGGGCTGCAGTGAATCTGGCACTGGCAGCGTCTCAGGACCAGAGAAGAAGAACAAGCAAGACCCCATGGCCTAAATCCCCTGTGAATCTTGCCCCCACKGATCTTCTCCAGGCCACAAGAAGCCTGCAGCAAGGCTAAGAACGGAATCCCACATCCCTGAGTCTTAACGGGAGCACTGACCTCCCTCTTACGGCTAAGTCCCAGAGCTAAGGTTGGGGGCAGGGACCTGGCCCATTTCTGCAACCAAAGACGTCTCTTTAGACACCCTCCGCTCCGGGCTGCTCTGATGGGAGACATCACTTAGCCCCGAATGCAGTTTTATAGTCTCATCCTGACGATGGCTGACCAGCCTAGCTCCATCCATTGCCAAAGGAGCATGGCAGCATCCAATTTACCCAATTTACCAAGATCTGGCAAAAAGAACAAGATAGGTAGCATAGATGCTTCTCCAGGTCCTCTGGATCCTACTCTCTTACAGGATGGAGCCCTAAKAAAAAGAGGGAAAAGTTTTCTTGGCAAGAAAGCTACTCCAAGACAGCAAGAATGAAGATTAATTTATGCTAATAAAATTAATTTATATAATTTCCTGTGTAATAAGGCCCTTCTGCTTTCATTATGCTGTTCCTTGAGAAAGAGAAGATGCACAGCTGCAGCAAGCTGTGCTTCAGCCGTTCTCCACTTCCCCAGGCCAAGAGGGAAATCAGAGAAACCTCCTCAAGACTGTTCTGAGCAAGAACATGGATTGATTTGGCTCACAAACACATATAAAGGAAGGAAATGGGAAAATGCCACTGGACCCTGTTTGCTCTGCCTGATCCTCTCCCAGTCACCTTCTGAAATTGTCACCTGCATTTTTATTTCACAGGTCATTTCAATGATTCCCTTCCAACCTTAAGGTTTTTATGATGATCACA